ATGAAAATGGTACGATGAAATAACCCTTACCTCCGCTGAAATTAAATTTGCAGTAAGGGAAGGAATGAAGAGAGAGGTTTCCACATTTGCTTTCATTAACATTTATATCTCAATTTTCTAAAATTATTTTTAGAATATCCTTGATGCTTTTTAAAAACACATGCAACAGGAGTCAATTTTGAAATATACACAAAAAATTGAAATACCTCAGATATAGGTTTGGTAGGAATACCTTTGAGGTACACTGAGGGTTAATTCAACTAGTTTGTTATTCAGAAGTACAAGTAAGTTCTGAGAAAGGAAGTTTCCTGCTAAAGACCATAGAGAATCCAAGCTCCTGTTCCAAGTGTGCTGCCATACTGCCAAACAGACATTTTGTTTTGTTTTGTTTTTAATAGACAGGCAGTTGAGGGGAAGATGGTTTAATTACTCATAATCTGACAAAGTATTTTTGCCCTCAGTTCCCTATCTTCCAATCAAATTTAGAAGTTTCCATTTTCACACAATGTGAGTTTGATTTGATTTTTTAGGAATTTAAAATAGTACATATAAATTATCTAACGTAATTTATTTTAAACACACAAAGAGCTTTACCACAGCCAACTTAGCTATAGCTATGTTTAAAGTATATTTTTTTCTTCAAGTATAAGACTTTCATCCATGAAACAAAGAGGGCCTTGCATAAGACCCACTATTTCATATTTTCTAGATACACTGAGACATAAATGAGGACATGCTTTCCTAAGACCTCAGAAATGGAATCATTGCAGGAGGAGAAGAAATTAGAAAGCTGAAATAATCACAACATTATATAATGTTGGAATTCCCACATTGCTATACCATTATACATCTATTTGTAACATGAAATAAAATTAAAACTATTAAAGATGAAAAGATGCACATACACAAAAATCAAGTTCTTTATCTTTGATTTCCACCCCACCCAATAGCAAAAATTAAAAAAAATAAGCTTTAGGTCATCCAAGTATACAAAGATAACACAAAGCTATACAGTTTCAATTCAGCTTTACATTGTGGTCACTTTTAGAAACTGAAGTAAGTGTGCCTACGGAAATCTCCAGCTGGAAGCAAACTTAACTTATGGGCCTAATGGGATCCACTGATGACATGATGAATTTTAATTTTTGACTAGAGTTTCATATATTAGTATGTCATTGCTAGAATTAAAAATAGAAGCTAAACGAGATATTATAAAACATTTAATCTTTATATTAAACACATGCTTCTTAAAAAATTCTGTTGTTTCTTGACTTCTATAAGAGAAACAAATTATTTACAAATGCAGTCTAATTTCTTTGTAGTAGTGCTAGAATTTACCAACTAGTCTTGTAAAGGGGCTGTAATGTAGATTGAAGAGGGAAATTTATAGCACTAAATGCCTACATTAAGAAAAAAGAAAGATATCAAATAAAAAACTTAATTTTACATCTCAAGGAACTAGTGAAAGAAGAACAAAATAAGTCCAAAGTCAGCAGAAAAAAGACAACAAATAAGGATTGCAGAAATAAATAAAATAGAGATTAGAAAAATAGAAAAAATCAATAAAACTAAAAGTGGGATTTTTAAAAAGTAAAATAAAATTAGCATCCATTTAGCTAGACTAAGGCAAAATGAGAGAAAACCCAAATAAAATAAGAAATGGAAGATATTACAACTACCACCATAGAAATGCAAAGGATAATAACAGACTATTATGAACAATGATCTGCCTAACAGGTTGACCTTGAAGAAATAGATAAATTCCCAGAAACATACAATCTATCAAGATTGAATCATGAAGAATTAGGAAATCCAAACAGTACAATAATGAGTAAGGACAATGAATTGTAATTAAATGTCTCTTAGCAAGGAAAAGTTCAGGACTTAATGGTGTTGCTGGTGTATTCTACAAAAAATTTAGAGAATTAATCAATCATTCTCAAATTCTTCCAAAAATTTAAGAGGAGAGTACACTTCCCAATTTATTTTATGAGGCTAGCATTACCCTGATATTAAAGCCAATTAAGGGCTCTACAAGAAAAGAAAATTACAAGGCAATATTTCTGACAAACATAGAGACAAAAAATATCAATGAAATACTAACAAACCAATTCAATAGAAAATCAAAACATTAATACACCATGATCAAGTGGGATATATCCCTAGGATACAAAAATGGTTCAACATATGCAAATATGTAGGTGTGAGAAACCATATTAATAGGATGAATAAATGACAAAAATTATATGATCATCTCAATAGAAGCAGAAAAAGCATGTAACAAAATTCAACATCCAGCCATGATCAAAAGCTCAACAAATGAGGTATAAAAATGCATGTCAACACATTAAGTGCCATATATTACAAACTCATGGCTAATATTATACATAGTGGTATAAAGTTGAAAACTTTTCTCCTAAGATTAGGAGCAAGAGAAGTAAGTTCACCCTGTTTCTATTCAATGTACTATCAAAAGTTCTAGCCAGAGAAACTGGGCAAGAAAAAAAAATCCAAATTGGAAAAGAAAAAAGTTAAATTGTTTCTGTTTGTGGATGACATGATCTTTTCTGGAGAAAACTCTAAATATTCCATGAAGAAAACACTGTTAGAACTAACAAATTCCGCAAAGTTTTGTATACAAAATCAACATACACAAATCAGTAGTGTTTCTACACACTGACAAGTTATGTAAGAAAGAAATTTAAAACATGATCCCATTTACAATACCATTTAAAAAATACTTAGGAATAAATGTAACCAAGGAGGTTAAATATCTATTTACTGAAAACTACAAAATATTGATTTAAGAACTTCAAGACACTAATAAACAAACATTCCAAGTTCATGGATTAGAAGAATTAATATTGTTCAAATATCCATATTACTCACAGTGATCTATTATTGCAATGAAATTTCTATCAAAATATTAATGACATTTTCCACAGAAATAAAAAGAAATCCAAAATTTCTATGGAACCACAAAAGACCCAGAATAGTCAAAGCAATCTTGAGAAAGAAGAAGAAAGCTAGAGGCATCACACTATCTAACATTAAACTACACTATGAAGCTATGGTAATAAAAGCAGCAAGGTACTGACATAAAGAGTGACATTAAGACCATGGAGTCAAAGCAGATAGCCAAGAAAATAAATCTATGCACTTACAGTCAACTGATTTTCGCTAAAGGTTGCCAAAGGTTGCAAGAACACAAAATGAGGAAAGAACAGTGTCTTCAATAAACAGGTGTTGGGAAAACTGAATATTGACATATAGAGAACAAAATTAGACCTTTATCTCACACCATATTTAAAAATCAACTCAAAATGGACAAAAGACTTAAATCAAAGACCTGAAACTGGAAAATTACTAGAAGGAAGTATAGGAAAAAATTTGACATTGGCCTGGGAATCAATCTTTTTTTCTTTCTCTCTTTCTTTCTCTTTCTTTCCTCCCTCCCTCCCTCCCTCCTTCCCTCCCTTCCTCCCTCCCTTCCTTCCTTCCTTCCTTCCTTCCTTCCTTCCTTCCTTCCTTCCTTCCTTCCTTCCTTCCTTCCTTCCTTCCTTCATTCTACATAAACCCCGAAGCACAGACAACAGAAGCAAAATAGACAAATGGGACTACATCAAGCTAAAATGTTTTTGCACAGCAAAGGACATAAATAACAGAGTGAAAAGACAACCTATGGAAAGGGAGAAAATGTTTAAAACCATATGTCTGCAAAGGCTTAATATCCAAAATATTTATTAGAAACTCAAATAACTCAACAGTAAGAAATGAATAACGTTCATTAAAAATGAGCAAAAAATTTGAAAAGGTATTTCTTAAAGGAAGGCATACAAATGCCTAACAGTTATATGAAAAAATACTAACATCATTCATCATCAGGGAAATACAAATTAAAACCGTAATGAAATAGCACCTCACACCTGTTAAAAATGGCTATTATCAAAAAGATGAAAGATAAAGTTTGCAAGAATGTGGAGAAAGGGGACCATTTGAACATGTTGGTGGGAATACAAATTACTTTCTCTGTTATTGAAAACACTATACAATACCTTTAAAACTAGCATTTGATCCTACAATCCCTTTACAGGGTATATAGCCAAAGGAAATGAAATTAGTATGTTCAAGAGATATCTTAATCCTCACGTAAATTACAGCATTATTCAATAGCCAAAATTTGGAATCAACCTATGTGTCAATTGACAGATGAATTAATAAATAAAATGTGGCATATGCATGTATCTATTTATAAAATAAAATATTATTCATCCTTAAAAAAGAAGAAACTCTTGTCATTTGTGACAATATAGATGAGCCAAGAAGACATATGCTAAGTGAAAAAGTCAGGCACAGAAAGACAAATACTTCACTTGTATGTGAGATTTTAAAAAGCTGAACTCAGATCCAGAGAGTAGGATGCCAGTGGCTTGGGAAAAGTTTGTGGAAGGGAACAAAGTTCCAGTTAGATGGGATGAATAAGTTAATAGTTATCCGTAGCATATTTTATACTTAAAAATTGCTAAGAGAGTAAGTATTTTAAACCTACTTGTTAGAAAAAAAATGAGAGATGATAGTATATTAATTAGGTTGATTTAATTATTTCACGATGTCTACATATAACAAAACATCTTGGTGTACTGCAAAAATAAACAATTTCTCTTTGTCAATTATACCTTCATAAATCTAAGATAAAGAACTAACTTGAAAAAACAATAATGGAAAACATTGTTACTCTTTTGCTGCTAGAAATAAACTTTGCGCCAGCCACATTACAAAGTAAAAACCTTGACTTTGTAATCAAATCTACTGCAAAATCAGTCCCCAAAGTCAAATTTTATCTAAAAAGTATTTTAATATATATTTAAATGTATAGTCAGTAAGCTATGCTGTAAATAAAAAAAATAAGTATTTTTTTTTTTTTAAATTTAAAGGACAGGAAAATAAAACACATTTGAAAACACTGATCTTAGTGCAAGATGCATACATAGAATACATACTGGGTTTAGAAGTATTGTGAGAAAAAGTTCACCTCCTCTGATACTTTTATCCAGTTCTTGGGGTCCTCCTGGATATTCTTTGTAGAAAATAGTGTGAGTGAACAACCCGCAAGTCTGTCGAGGGAGGACCTAGGTAAAATAGGGGAAACATAGTACATGGCATGATTTATTTAAGAAATTCACCCCTATCTCATAACTTCAGAATATGCAAACTGTAATTTCTTATTGGATTTTCTTGGTTGCTAAGGTCAAAATCTTACCGTAATCACAAGTTGATATTGGTGTAATTATGTAAACATTAAAGGAGTTTCCAAATCAAATGGATACAGCATACAGGTTAAATAATTTTCACTTGGTTCTATAAATCTAACCCACCACCTGCATTATGTTCAATGATTAGGGGAAATGCAAAGCCATCTAAGTCTTAATTTGATTCAAAGATGGAAATTCTCCAAGGTTAAATCTCTCATGTCATTGGGCTGTTACTCTCCTCGCTCTGAAATTAAGTCCTACAGTGTAAAGGTATTCAAGTTCGGGGATTCAAAGCAACTGGTTTACATAATCCCTTCCACGTTAGCTTTGTTTTCAATATACTCTGAATTTAAATTTTGTCACATAGTAGTCAAGTTATTTAGTGATTACTTCTAACATATTTTATGGGTTTTTTCTTTTTTTTTTGTAAATCTGAATGTTTAATAAAGAAAGCAAATAATTAATTTTATTACAAAATCATATTTTGAATAACAAACTATTGTTAATTTAATGCACAAATGCATCTAATTGCTTAGAGTGTTTATTTTCTTTCAATTCTTTGTTTAATTATCATAAGGGTTTATATTAAATTTAAGGTAAATAAATGCATGTAATATTGGTTAAAAAGAATGATTTTATTTCAAAATACGTTGAATGCTCATTCAAGGAATTAATGCTGTCCAAGATCGAGTGGTGTTTTGGATACACAGGGTAAAGCAAAGGTAAACAGAAACCTGGATATTTTCACTATGATTTGAAATTATGTGAGTAATTCTGTTCATACCTCCTAGATTTCTGTGGACATCAATGTCACTATTTGCATTATCAACAACTTCTCTTAAATCTGAGGCTCCTTCAGACTTTTGGTTACCAATTTACAATAAAATAAAGCTTCATAACTAACCAATACTGTGTATCAGCCCTGGTTAGATACATGTGGGTGCATTTGTTTTAGCCACAGATAGTGCTTGGATAGAAAAATAAATCGTAAATAGATAGATATATGATAGATGGATTCCAACAGCAATATGAATGATGAATTAGGAAGGTGTAAATATTTAAGTGAGTGAGAACAGTTTGTAAACAAGTGCTCTGATCTTGGCAACTAATTATAAAAACATAATCTAAGTCACTAGAAGTAGGAACACATGTTTTAAAAGAGGCTATTTTATCTCAAAATGAGTAGTATAATTTTAATGATTCTAAACTGCCATCTAAAATCCAATTGGTTTTATTTTCCTTTATAGGATTTCTACATCCTATTATTTTTTGATTACTATACAGGAAAAAGAAAAACATATACCTCCCTTTTTGGAGTAAGAAAAAGACCAAAAAAAAAAAAAAAAAAAAAAAAAAAAAAAAAAAAAAGAGCAGTATTCTTAGATACTTTTGAATGTCTGAAAGCCAAAATAAACCCAGTGGATAAATTTAACTCTCAGATGCTATTTGTTACATTCTGTCTGTTGATAGAATAACAACTTGAGAGGTGTTTTCTTAATCTATGGAGCCTTATTTTCCTGTAAAACTGTCAGTAAAATCACCCAACCAAAGAGATACTGAGAAATTTCCTAGGAAAAGTATAGAATCCCCAGGCAAAATTTTAATACTGAAACTACAGTGGATAATCTAGACAAAACTCATTCCTATTAGTTTCAGTTTGTTTTAGACTTGCCAAAGCCACTCCACAGCTTAGGAGAGGCCTAAAGCCAAAGATGTGTTAATGTATAACCAGTCACCACTGAGGTATGTTGGGCATTTCTGACAATCATGTAAAAGATGTTTGAGGTTGCATTTTTAGAGGAAAGGGCCCTCAGTCTTCATTGCTCATGTAAACATTAACATTCTTTAATACGTATGGCCCTCTGTGCTCACCATGATGCTATTGTGAATGAAGCCCTTTCTGTACCGGGCAGGTTTCAGATGTGGATATTCTTCAGTGCTGGTGACTTGAATACCCCAGACCTTCTTCCAAGCTGCATACAACTGAATGTGAACCGGGTAGACCCCTGAGTGATGTGGGGCCACAGCATAGCCCATGTTGATTGGTATTCCATGTTCCTAAAAGAAAGCCAGAACAAATAATCATGATGGAATGTGGTCAATTAATTTAGTTAAAATCGTTTCCACCAACATCTATTTAGAATACATTGGATTCTAAGCTAAATATGAGAATTAAAAATCCAGCAATGTAGAGATTTTATCTTTGAGAAGCTCATAATCTGATAGAACTCTGATGGCATAACAAATGCAGTCATTACTTTGGGCAGGTGGTGTGTGGGTGAGATTAATTTAGAATTTTGAATATATGAAGTTTTGGGAAAAGGTAAGACGTGAACTTGGCCCTTCCTCAGATAAATTTGTGGAGGGGGATGACATCATTTGAAGAAGTGCCCAAATGTGGAGGATGAAAGGGCATAGAATGTGTGTGTGTGTGTGTCTCTGTGTGTGTGTGTGTTGTTGTTGTTGAAGAAAATCAGAAAGGTAAGTATGAATGATGAAGTGATGAACTTTTGCATTTAAACTGAGGGATTTAGAATTAATTCTATTTTAACAAGGTAGATAAGGAAGCTTTGTGAGCGTGGAAGGTCAAGGTCTGCTCTGAGTTTTAAGAAGAAGGACCTAGTGACAACATGTTAAGATAAACTACAAGGGGAAGAAAATGAATAAAGACTGTGCATTAGGAAACTTTCTTTGGTGCCAATTAGGTGAAGATAGATAATTAAATAAAATTATTTATGGTCAGATTCAAAGGCAGGGGACTAATACCATACAAGATCCAGTGATGTTTTAAATACCCAGGGTAAAGGAAAGGTAAAGGTTAAGATTTTCTCCTTGTTTTTAGACCATAGCAACTCAATTTGTTTTTATAAAACTTATACTTTACTATGAGATTCTTGGGTAAACTGTCAACTCTGAAAGAAAACTAGTATAAATTTAAACAAAATATTTAAAAAATGTCAAAGAATGAGATTATATTGCTAGGTACATAAAATAGATCTGCAGTTTTCTCATTTCTGCTTCTTTATATCCCTCCCTTTAAATGCTTATCCTCTTTATAAAGACTCCTTGTAGGATTGAGTCTCATCAATTGAGGTTATAAATGACAATGCACAGTTATATATGAAAGCTGATTGAATCAATAAACAACACAAAAGTGTTGACTTGACAATTGCCATTTATATTTTCTATTACATGGTACACAGCAGAGGAAAAGAATTCAGTCTGTTATAATAAGCAAGTAGTGAATGGATCATGTATCTACAATGCCTTCATCATACACTACACTTAGCTCAGAAGATGGACCCTAAATTTTTCACAAGTCTCCATCATTTTTCCTTTCATGTAATGACCCTCGTTGTATAGCCAAAGTCACTTCTCTTTCTCCAAGACTATGGGTGTTTTCTAACATCTATTACAGCAAATGACTCTGCAGAAAGACTGAATTATGATAATCAATGCTGTAAAATGAGCTAGAGTCTTTTGCTAGACACTGGGGAAAATTTCATTTCTTGATCTGTGCAGAAGAAAAACACTTCTTTCTAGCACTTGTATTTCCGATAAAAGACAAAGTTGGTAAAGTTCAATAGTAAAAGTACTTGGAAACTCCCAGAGACCACAGGCAACAGTTGTTACCATGACATCACTAGGGGACATGCACTGGGACAGCCTTAGTTCTCTCAGGTTTGTTCCTTGTTCCCCAGTGAGTGTTCACAAAGTGTTTTGAGGATAAGTGATTAGTAAAGGCTATTAGCATTTGTACACTGTTTATTTTGTCACTTTTCACATTATGGGATAAGTCTTATGGTATCATGTCTTATTGTAGTGTAGATTCCATAGATCCTATAAGAGACGTTGTTCTAATAAATAATTAAAGCCTTATTTGAGGATAAGTATTATTTCAGGATAATTTGAGGATAATTATTTGAGGGTATTTGAGGATAATTATTTATCAGACATTGTTCTAATAAATAATTGAAGCCAATTTGAGGATTCTCCAGCATTCAAGACATTGCAAGCGTGTGGACGCATTGGGTGTGAGACAGAGATGTACTTGATGAGAAAAATTTAGAAACAAGAGTGTCCAAAGTCCTCTGTCTGGTAAATAGAATTTGTATAAATGTGCCTAGAAAGGCACTCCTGATTCACAGGAAAAGGGAATAAAATCCATTATCCTCCTTCTACTCTCTCAAAGGTTTCATATTGAGGTTTTATAAGACTTATCCCATAATGTGAAAATGACAAAATCAACAGTGTACAAATCCTAATAGTCTTTACTAATCACTTTGTTAGTTCTCATTCTCTACCATTGTATAATATTTTACTCTAAATTTGGGGGCCTAGAAGGCTAGATAAAATATGTGAGTATCCTAGAAGCAAAACAATGAAAAACTAAAATCAGAAAAAAGAATTGAAATATCAAACAACTATATTTCCTCAGGAAAAAAAAAGACATTTCACTTTTGACAAGTAGTAAAATGAATTGTAGAACTTTCATAAAAAAACAGAAGGTACAAAGCAATTGAATTGGTGAGTAGGAAGGAAGGGGTAGTAAAAAATTTTTATTATATTTATTGATTTTTAGGGCCCAGTGTTATATTGTCCATAAGGTCATCTTATCACCCTGGCAACTGGAGCTCAATTAAAATAATAAATCATACTACATAATTATGAGTTTATGCTTTTTCAATCTAAATGACAACACAAAGTGAGAAGTAATTCCCTAGCAACTTTTTTTTTTCTGTTACAATGGGGCTCACTGAACTAGAAGCTTTAATTCTTTACTTTCCAGGGCTTAAAATCTACTTTACAAAGACTTGGCCAACTAGAAAATCAACTAAGCATCATATTTACACAGGATCACAAAAATTACAAGATTTGAAAAGCCTTCCAATATAAATATAGGAAGCACTTGAGATTCTATAAAAATAGACATATAAATGGCACAAAACAAATTCAAATATAGCTTTATTCACTACAACAGTGTCTCTTACAGGATCTATGGAATCTATTACTACAATAAGACATGATATCACAAATAAAGGGGTTTGACATGATCTAATGTTTCCAGTATATTAAATCCCAGTTGGCTGTGAAATGAGATATTATAATAATTTACAGACTATATTAAAAAATCGCCATTTTACAAAAATTAGAATAAAATAAAATGTATTTAGCACTAAAGCTCTAACAGCAACTGAAATAATGTCATTTAATTTTCCTTTGATAATTCCTACTGAGTATATCTTCTTTTAATTGCTTAGTACCTGATATTGAAATGGAATAGCTCTCTTGGGTTATCTTGTTACTCCGCCTACAGCTCTCAACCCCTCACAGGATGAGAAGCATGCAGGTGAATGAGCAGGTGCAGGGACCATGATGAGTATTCCTGGGTACCAGCTGGAGTAGAACTCTGTGCAGCTCCGTGGCAACATCTAGGGGGATACTTGCAATTCCCAGCATCCCAGAGGGCGTGTGTTACAGTGTACTCTTTTAGCTTTGTTGTCCATGGATGGTTTACTTGCTTAACAGCTCAATGGAAGGGCAGGGTGACGGTCTTTTGTACCTGCCATCTTGGAACCCTGGTTCTTGTCCAGTGTCCAGGAAGAATCAGGTCACATGAAGAAATTGAAGAGTGGTTAATGTGGGGGATTTTACTGAATTTGTCCCTGGCTGAAGAAACACTTCTCCAAAGTCCTGCTGTCAGGCTGTCCCTCTGAAGTCAAGCTGCTTCTCTCTGACATCCAGCTGCCTTTTCTTTTCTCTCCTCTGCTGCTCTGCTCTGCCACCCCTCTGCCAGGGGAGCCTGAAGTTTTTAAGAGTGCGGGATGGGGTGCAGAGCAGGCCAAAAAGCAATATTCGAGTGGGAAAACAGGAATGCATGTTCTCACTTTGGGTGGCAGTCCCAGGTTTGAGGGTGTGGCCCTTGTTGGGAACCTCCCGCAGTATTTTCCTGCCCTATGTCTGTATCAATATTTATGAAGTATTTTAAATTTATGTCTAATACGATTTTTATAATCATTCTATGAGGAGGACTGGCTACTGCTATAAAATGTGGAAATAGAGGCTCGTAGAAGGCACATAACTTGCTTATATTCACAAGTGTCAGAGCTATATTCTACACAAGTCATTTAAATTCATCATCTCTGCTTTGGCTTTTTCACTAAGTTGCTTCTAGTGTGAGCCCTCCCCTCCCCAAAGTATGACTGAAGAGACTTAAAAGAAAGAATTGATTTTAATATGCGTGTTTCTGAACTGGATCTCCTATCCATAATTTATTTTATTTTTTTTTTTGCTTGGAGAGATTATAAAACAAAGTTTACATTTCTCAAACTCCTCTGCAGCTATTATTTTTTTTAATGAAATTGAGTTAGAGCCCGTTAGAAGTACTCAAGACCAATTTTGGAGGGCAGTAGGAGGGTAAACCCTAAATTTTGGCAGCTCCTGGCTCCTGTTGCTGGAAGTAAGGTCTTGCAAATAAGCAAGTTCTTTTTGCAGCTATATTGGTGCCCATTTGCAAGGCAGCAGCAGTGACTTAATGTTTTTTTTTTTTTTCTTTTTGATATTTTATCGCTTTTTAGGTTTTGGGGTACATGTGAAGAACATGCAGGACTGTTGTAAAGGTACATACATGGCAATGTGGTTTGCTGCCTTCCTCCCCATCACTTATATCTGGCATTTCTCCTCATGTTATCCCTCCCCAATTCCCCACCTCTCACTGTTCCTCCCCTAGTTCTCCCCCACAGACCCCAGTGTGTGATGCCCTCCTCCCTGTGTTCATGTGTTCTCACTGTTTGACACCCGCCTATGAGTGAGAACATGTGCTGTTTGATTTTCTGTTCTTGTGTCAGTTTGCTGAGAATGATGGTTTCCAGATTTATCCATGTCCCTACAAAGGACACAAACTCATCATTTTTGATGGCTGCATTGTAATCCATGGTGTATATATGTGCCACATTTTCCCTGTCCAGTCTGTCATCAGGGGGCATTTGGGTTGGTTCCAAGTTTCTGCTGTTGTAAACAGTGCTTCATTGAACATTCGTGTGCATGTGTCTTTCTAA